GACAATCTTGTTATTGTTTCTCACCCATAGTAAATGCTATAGACCTCGAACTTTGTAGTTATGTGATACTTGATATATACAATAATCTGCCAAAATTTCAAGAAGTTTGCTTTTATTGAACACGAGAACGATGAATTTCAAAATTGTAACAGAACTCCTGTGACACCCTTTATAGTAGAATCTAAGAAATGAGAACGTAGGTGTCGGGAATAGGATTGCTTCTATCTTAATCTCATCCTTTCTCAAAAGCTGCAGCTTTGTCAAAGAAAAAGTTATTTTTTGATAAATCGTCACTAATTCAAGTTTCTAGTAATTCACAGTGCTCTATTTTCGTAGTGTGTAGATGTAAAGAGAAGATTCCACACTTGCATGGACTTTCTTTTATTAGTGTCTGTTTTGTGATTGTATCATACGAGTGTACTTTTATTTGTTTTATATTAAGGAAAAAAAACAAATTTGAAATTGACTTTGATTTATCCTTCAGTTGAAGATTGTTTTGCTAATAAATCTCGAATTTGGCATAATACTTTAACTTCTTCACTTATTTCAATTTTTTTATTTTCTTCTTTTTGTTGTTTTCTTGCTGTAAGCTCACGTAATTTAGTAATACCTTTAATAACAAAGAATAATACAAATGCCATAATTAATAATGATATTATTGTTTGAATAAATTTTCCATAACGAATAACAACAGGTGGTTGATCTTGATAAACAAAATTTTTTATTTTAATTGTTAAATTAACAAAATCAACACCACCCAATAGCAAACCAAATGGAGGTGTAATTATATCATTGACAAGTGATTGAACTACATTAGTAAATGCTGTACCAATAATAATACCAATAGCTAAATCGACTACATTTCCTCGAACAGCAAATCTATTTAAATTCAGAAGATATACAAATGAAAAAATACAGTATGAATAGGATAGGGGAAAAATACCTAACATGTTTAACTCTCAAATATTAACATTATATTCAAGCCTTCCTTCTCATAGCACCATCTTTTTTATAATCCTCTTTTGTTATACGCACATATCAAGCTACTCATTTGTCAACTTTGTATACATTCTGGTTGTCAATGTCATTGCTAATCTCTCAGGCTATCTCGATTAATTATTTTCTTCATAAAGTTACTTGTATGAACACTATGTCCTTATAGGGTTAAACATGGATAGGATTTTGCATAAACTGCAATAAAATAAATAAAATATGAATACATACGCTTTGAAATCGTGACAAAAATTTCGACAACAACGACAAAAACGAGCCATATGGTTGAACGCTAAGTTTGTATGTTTATATTGTTAAATTATATTTCTTAGCTACGTAATGTATGATAAGAAAAGAAAAATAGTATGAAGCAAAGAATAAGTTTCAATGTCAGTGATTCATAATTATTATTGAGAAAACTCAAATAAACTATGAAAGAAAAAAGTTATACACCTTTTATATGAAGATGTTGTAGACAAAGAATTCTATCTTCGATAAGAGAAAGATAGGAAAAAGTTAGAATTGCCACTTTCACTTTCTTATTATAAAAAAAAAGGAAAGTAAATACTCTCATTTCCTGAGAGGAAGAAAAATCTTTACTTTTCTTTCTTTTACGAAAGGAAAGTAAAACTTTCTTTTTCTTTCCTTTTAGAAAGTAAAAAAAAAAGAAAGTAAAAGTGTTACTCCTAAAAAAGGAAATATTAATTAAGGTCATTATCTACAACAACAGTTGGCGTTTATGTTGCGTATTGGCTCAACTTCGTGCATATAAATTCAAAGAAATAAAAAAAACAAAAAAGAAATTACTCATGCTGTTCTATACAGGAATATATCTGTGTAATTTTTCTTTTTTTTCTGTAGCATTTGTTCATTTGTATGCTAAAATATGTTTTGATTTACATATTGCATGTATCATTTATGAAGTTATTTTCTGAAAATCATTCTAATATAACATGAATAAATAATTTTTCATGCTGTAATAATATAAAATGGAAAAGTCTACAAGGAAAAGCTTTTTAAATATTTATTATAAAAACAATTATGTTAACTATGGGGTTTTTGATTAGTCGTCAAAATAAATAAATAAATAATATTATTATTATTAATTAAAATTCATTTGGCGAACATTTTACGATTGATTGTCGTGCTAATAAATCTCGAATTTCACGTAATACTTTAACTTCGTCAGTTACTTCATTTTCTAAATCATTTTCACTTGTTGTTTTATTTCTTTGTGCTATTTTATGTAAGTGATTGATTGCTTTAATAATAAAAAAAAGTGCAAATGCCACAATAATTAAAGAAATTATTGTTTGAATAAATTTTCCATAACGAATAACAACAGGTGGTTGATCTTGATAAACAAAATTTTTCATTTTAATTGTTAAATTAACAAAATCAACACCACCCAATATAAGACCAAATGGAGGTGTAATTATATCATCGACAAGTGATTGAACTACATTAGTAAATGCTGTACCAATAATAATACCAATTGCTAAATCTAATACATTTCCTCGTAGAGCAAATCTATTTAATTGAAAGAATATTAAAAAGAAAAAAAATGTAAGAATAAATACGTACGCTTTGAATTCTTTACAAAAATTCGTACAACATCGACCTAAACATGCCATGCTTATCTAAAGAATAGATCAACATCGTTTTGTCTGATGAGATTTTATAGAAAAAACATGTTTATATCGAAAAGATGGTCGAGACTATTTCGGAAACGTTTCGGACACAAAAATAAAATTCGACAAATTCAGTTCGTGGAACTGATCCGAACAATTCTTATTCTACTTTTTTTTAGAAAGACACTTTCGAGTATAAAAAACGTCTATCCGGTTACTGATATGCGACTTCCAAAACAGAATAAAATTTCTTGGACAGCTTAATTTCAGTAACTCAACTGTTTCAATATGTCTTATGATATGATCTGATCGGTTCGAGCAATATAGCTTTGCTACATATGTTGAATTGATTAGAATCATCAAGCATCTATTACAACTTCATCTAACATCATTTTTCCTAACATTACTCCTAATCTGGAAACTATTGTTAAGGATATTCGTTGTTTCTCTACAAGGTCTCATTTCTATCATTCAGTAAAAGTTTATTAATGATATGTTCTATCATTAATCATATAAGACTTATTCTTTCTGATTATATTCCATGTAATATGTATCCATGAAGAATAATAAAATGATAAATTTCTGTATATTTGACATTGGGATACAAATATATATATGTAAAATGATACATTATTTTATTACAACATCTTTTATCACTTCGGATTATCATTAGTCTTACCCTTATGAAAAAATCAACTGAATGTCGATATTATATGTTCTGAGTTATACAGGATAGAATGGTAAGAAACATCCATTAGTAAGATAAAAGGTCAGCAATAATCTTCTTAGTCTCTAGAAATATTTATACAAGATATTATCTCTTGCTTCATTGTCTCATATATTTTTTCATTAGCATACATACAGATAAGTTCTATATTTTTTTGTATCATGTCTCATAATATGTTTTGGCTCTGGAAATTCAGGCCTTATATACTTGAATAAAGATATAAGATATTTTCTTGACGATAAGCAAAGAAAAAAGTCTTGTATAAACACTTAATTTCAATCTATTCAAAATAAACTAATCATATTTTGATTATAATCTTATAAAGAAAAAGAGTTTTTTATCAATAGAATAATAGAAGATGAAAATAAAAGATAGAATCTTTTCGATTATCTTTAAGTAGATAAAATCTGTGACATTGAATTCGAAAAAAATCTACAGAGAAATGCTCGATCTCAAGAAATTTGAAATTCGTTGCAAAAACGGATGAAGCACGGTCACATCTTGCGTTTCAATTTTCAATCACGTAATACATTGTATTTAAAAAAGAACAAAATATTCTACAAGATGTAGCACGAAAAGTTCTACAATTTACAGAGTAATTCTTATTTTAATTGTGTATCTTTTATTTTCCAAATAAGCAGAACTCTGTGTGACCAATTCTCGACGCTGCAAACGTAATCATTTTATTGATAAATTATCAATTCGTTTATTTATATTATTGATGAAAGGCAATTCTATTCATTGACGAAACATATTTCTCATTAGAACATGTTTATGTCGCAAGTTGATAAGAAACAGACGAATAAACGAGATATAAACCAAAAGGCTAAGTATCCAAAAAGAATTATGGTGTGATTAGGTGCATCTAAAAATGGTCTTACGTCTTGCACTGTATTTAAATCTAGTAAAACATTATTACATGAAAATTACATTAAAGTTGTTTTTCCGCAACTATCATCTGTTAATAAGACAATACTATGTTATATACATATCAGAAATCGTTAGTAGGCTACGAGAAAATTTCATGTATGTATTTAATAATATACAATGAGATAAATGTAACGAAAAATGTGCTCGATATCGAGAGATATAAAGATAGTAGAGAAAATCCGGACAACACCGAATCGTAAGGATTTATTGAACAATGAATTCAAAGAATAAGACCAACAGCATTCTGCTACTGACAATTACACGTACGATCAATTCACAGCAAAGAATACATACAATAGACTTATTTGTAAACACACATTACTTCCGTACGACGTGTCCTCTCGTATCGGCACAATCTCGTCTATCTTAGTTCTAAAGCCCACTCCAACAAAGAAAAAACTCCAGAGAGAAAAAAATCAATGCGGAAAGAGAGAAAAAGAGGAAGAAAAAAGAATACAGAAAAAGATTGCGTGTAACTCAAAAGAGAATAAGAAATGTATTACTAAAGAACATCCATTGTCTGGTACGAACTTAATTAACCTTGACAAGAGAAGATAATGTGCTCCTTGGCATTATGTCATATAAAAGAACGTTCATCGCGTGATGTAACATTGATTAACTGTGTCAAATTAGGATAGTGTGCTTCTTGACACAATAAAGTTTTCAAAAAAAAAAATCTATGATTCATTAATTGATGAAATAAGAAAAGGAAGTTGTCATGTACCCATAAATGATCTTGTTCACAGCATCAAAATTTTGTTTATGTTGAAAACAAAAAGTGTAACTATAAAACAAGCTATGTTCTGTAAATTCTAGAACTTTTCACGCTGCATCTTGTGGTATATTTTTTGCTTTTTTAATACAAAATATAATTGAAATGCAAAACATAGCCATTTAATCTGCCTCATCCATCCATGATTTATAGAAACACTCAAAACTATTATTTAGAGAAACTAATTATAATAACAGAAATGAGAATATTATTTAAAAATGCATAAGATAGCGACAACAAAATATTATTGTAATTTTTTAACGGTTGAAGTTGTCTATAATTTATTTATTTCAGAAACAGGCGTAAATTCTAACTCGAGTTTATTCAACTAAATATTTCACACTTTTTAGATCACTTTTTGAAGAGTCTTTGATAATGTTTTGCACTGCAAGTCTAACTCTTGGGTCTTTTTAAATATATATATATTGATTGTAGTGGAAATTAATGGTTGTACTAAGGAAAAACATTATTCAGAGGACAAATAGTTCGATAGTGTCATCTTCAGTTTCTTGACTGATTTGGCAAGATTTTTATGTTCTTAAATTCTTGATTGAATCTTTTTTTTCTTGAAACTGCTGTGTGATCCTTGTGATTCAGGTGTAGTATCAGTATACGTCATCACGATATATATTTTCATAGTTCATTGCAATCAATTTGTTATCCTCTGGAACTGATGAATGTTCAATTATTATCGAAGTTCTTCGTTTCGATAGAGTTACTGTTGACTAATTGGATGACTCTTGCTTACGAAAATACACAATGAAAAAATTTTGGACTCCCTTACTTTTGACTTCTCTTGTTTGTACATAGATATGATGTGCTATTTTGTCATGAAGGTTAGACCAAAATCTTTTAATTGAATACATTTTGTTTTTTTTTTATCAATCAAGAATAACACAAGAAACTAGAGATATTAGTTGATGTTCTATTGATTGATATAATGACTTCATTGAATATATGATTATTGTCAAATTTTTATTTTTCATAACAAATAAAGAAATGTGCATAGCCTTATATTCACCGGAGTTTATATTTAGTTTTGGTTTATTAATATCTGACAAATAGAAATCGAGCACAAAATAGAAAATAAGTGTAAATAATAATCTATCGTCGAAGTTGCTGATGAAGACTGAGCAATTGTGATGAAACTAATGGTTTCTATAAAAAAAAAAAAAACAAATCAATAGAATAATATATATTTATTCACTATATATACTTGAGCATAGAAAGAAGGTGGTTCTTGTGTTTTAAGTCGTTTTGCAATAGGTTCATGATTTTCTTGCATAGCCTAAGAATTGAATAATAATAAATATAAATTTATTTCAAATATTTCTTCTTACAAGAAGATGTACATGTGTATGTTGTTCTGGTACAATAATCATCTTATGAACAGGTGCATGACAATTTTCTTGTGTTACTTGTATTGATGATTCTTCGATTAGAGGAGGTGCAGGTTGAACAGCTGGTTGTTGCTGTTGTTGTTGTTCTTCGTCTTCAATAATAAACTCTCGTTTTCCATATGGAATTTCCATACCATGGAAAGCGCTAATAAAATAAAATAGAGAACAAACAAAATATGTTTCTTTTTTATCAAATATATAGACGTACTCTGGATGAGGTAATGGTGATTGTTTAAAAAAGGATCAGTAAGAGCTTGTTCAGCTGTTATACGTTTATTAGGATCAAATGTTAAAAAACGTTTCATTAAATCTAATGAAAAACTTGGATGTCCATTAGGAAAAACATTTTTCATCCATTGTTCTATACTACAATGACCATAACTAAAAGGAAAACAAAAATCAATAAATCAAATAAAATGAATCTCGATATATACTCTTACTTTCTTTAACGAAGCCAGACAAATGAGTAATACGAATATATATATCCAATTCAAAGAAAACTCTTCCTTTAGTTTAAGAAATCTTTATCTTTGTTCATTGGTTATCCATATTTAATCGTTTGTTTACTACTGTTGTGATTTCTTTCGTAATTTTTTATGTTTAATCTGGTTGTGCATCATTTCAGCATGATCTAATCGATTTTTTTTTGTTGCGTTTCTTTGAGTATTATCGATCCATATATAAGTTTAAGTCCATCTCATCACTTATTTCGATCTTAATAAATATTGTTCATACTAAAGAATGTCATTCAAACAATTTTCTGTCTATATGTTATTCTGTCATACGAAATTGT